TGGGCTCTCAAGCTATAAATAGGAAAAGAGTTCAGAGAAGCCATCTTTTTCGGGACTCTTCGTGCATCTGAACGACAAGCAAAGCCTTTGAAATGACAGCCCTGTTGACGACGGCGCCGCACAAAAGCATCGTGGTGGCATTGAAGTTCACTCATCATCAGTACTTTTTACAATCAGCCCCGAACTCACTTTTATGAATTTGGTCGCTTATGGATTTTTTTTTTTCCGAACTTCATCACCTTCAAGGCACTCCAAAGACAAACGTCATCCAAAGCAAACTGCTTGCATTTTTTTGGAATCCTGCGCCATGAAGTGTTCAACGTCTCAACGAGAAAGCCAACGCACTGTATTATTGTCTGCCGGGCGGTCATTTATGACAACGTATGCAAGAAAACAAAGAAATCCGCTTTTACCGTGTCTATTTGTGGCTCGGAAATCAAGTTTGTTTGCACAACCGCTCTGTCATGTAAAAGATCACAGTGGACACGTGTGTGTGTGTGTGTGTGTGTCTGTGTGTGTGTGTGTGTGTGTGTGTGTGTGTGTGTGTGTGTGTGTGTGTGTGTGTGATTGGCTGGCTGTGATTGGCTCGCACGGCACACTCCCCCCCATCGTCCCTGAACCCCTCCTCTTCAGCTCAGACACACGGGCCCGGTCGCCATGACGACGGCCATGTCAGGAGGGTAGCCTGGTGTAAATACCTCCTCTCCTGTGAACCTCTCTTCCTCCGGGTTGATTTATCGCAACCGCCTGCCATACTTCGTTTTGTGTCGTCGCACTTCGAGAGAAAAGAATTCGATTTTTTCTTTATCGTCGACGCTCGGCGCCGACTCCAAGTTATGTCCGGCGAGCACCGAGTGAACCTTTCGGCGAGTTTGTCGGTCACGATGCATTAAGCTGCCGGCCGGAAGTTCGCGCACCCCCCCTCGCACTGAAAGCCAAAGTGTTACAAGCATAGAGCCCTGAGGTCTGCCGCTTCATTGTGGAGAATGTTGTTACCCTGATGTGCAACGTTTTTTTATTTGGGGGGGGTCAGGCTGCAATTGATTGACATTTTATTGAAGATGGGTACACGTAAAGTACTATGGATCGCTTTAAACTATAAGGGAAGGTATTGCACTCAAGAATAGACACAACATTGTCATGAAACTAAAACTAACACTCAAATGAATTCGAAACTAAACTAAAACTGAAAATTGCATTTCATAAACAATAGTCAAAAGGAACTAAGAAGTGACTCTAATGAAAATTGCCCGTAACTATTCTGAGCCTCCCTGCCCACTGGGAAAACACATCACTTCAAGTGATGTTGTCGCTGTGGATTATCCGGCTTCTTGGAAAAGCTCCACGTGTGCGCTTCCCGGACATGAAGCGGTCGTCACGTTGCGGACTGACCCGTCCGATGTGACTCACTCCTTCCAATAAGGAGGAGGGTTAAAAGATGCCGAGCAGTGGAGGAGCCCCACTCTCCACTCTCGCGAGTGCAATCTGTTATCAAGGCGAGCCCGATTCCGGGATGATGCGCAGAAAAGGGGGCAAAACCTGCAGTGCAACACGGGTTGAATAATTCATCGGCGAGACAGAAAGGAGCAGAGAAGGTGAGAGGAAAGGATGGAGGATGCGAGGAGGGAGGGAGGGAGGGAGGGATGGCGCAGGAGACTGAACCGGCTGCCGCCGCCGGTCACGTTCGCGCCGTCTGCGACCGAAACGCGCGACGAGCACACCTGGAGAGCGTCAACGCGACGCACACGCCAAGACAAAACGCATCACACTCAAAGCACATCAAGAGTCTGGCTGAGGGGCGGAGGACGCATCAAACGCGCCTCACGCGCGAAGACAGACAGACGTGGGAGGCAGTAAAAAGAAGACCAAAAAAAAAAAAAAAAAAATCGGAATAAATCAAGATGGCGGCAGACATGGGGAGGTCAAATGAGGAGAAGGAGTTAAAGAAGGATGGCGAAAAGTCAGAGAGGCGGGCGCAAGAGCGAGAGGAGCTTTTTGCCTCATTTCAATACGAGCAGGACAAAAAAAAAAAAAAAAAAAAAAAAACAAGCTGACGGGCTTTGTGTCTGGCACATGCAGTACGAAATGTACACACAAGATCGAGAGAGCTTTGCATTCATACAGAGAAAGAGAGAGAGAGAGAGATCATTTGAGGAGAAGGAAGCAGGAAAAAAAAAAAAAAAAAGCAGAGTGTGAGTAGATGCAGCCGGGAGGAGGAAGGGCTGAGATAGACAGCGCTGCTGCAGTCTCAACCGCATGTCCCCCGTGCATCCCACGCACACACACGCGCACGCGCACGCCCAACTCGACGGAGCATGCAGAGAGAATGTCACATCAATGCCAAAAGTGGCGGCAGGCGCCCGCGTGCGCTGCACGCCGTGTCACAATTCGCAGCTCCGTTTCGCGGTACTGATCTATTTCTTACCTTCATTGAAAAAGAAATATAGGTCAGGACATGTTCCATCCTTTCCTACGACATTTTCAATAATCCACGCACAAAAAAAAAAAAAAAAATGCACCGGTGGACACATAGTTGCAAAGTGTACCTGTGGTAAATATGATTTATAGCTCTTCAGCACCCCCTAACATGGCTTTTCTTTTTTCCTCCCCTTTGTCTCTGCCTTACATTTACTTTTATCCCAGACATATTTTAAACTATTGTAATGATGCTCCGAAGTGACATTTCGAGGCACAGCAAAGAAAGTGAGCGACCCGACTCGGCGGAAATGACTTCCAAGGTCGGTGCTCTCGCCCATGATGCCACAAGATGAAGCGACGAGACACTGAAATGGAACAAATAATCACATTTGGCTTGAAACCGCAGGTGGCTCTGAGCGCGCTTAGGCCGACAGAGCCGCCCTTTGACCCCGAGAGCCCACCACTGGCGCAAACACAGCACACTGCGTCAGTCAAAGTCAACAGGCGATCCGGTGACTCAACTGGGCGGCCGATGGCTTTAACGTCGCCCATTAGCCCAGTGGCACGAGCTGAGCTTCATGGCCATATAAGGGCGTCTTAATTCCCCCCCCCGACCCCCGTCTAAAAACCCAAGTCCCGTCAGTTAAGACCGTGATCCATCCATACGGGCTGGCGCTAAGCCGGGCATCGCGGTGGCCGCAGTGTAGCGTGACTGAGGCGTATTACACTGCTCGGCCCCCGTTGAGTGCGTGTAAACTAGCATGTCTGTGTGCGTGTTTGTACGCGTGTGCTTATAAGCGTAATTACATATGCAGGAAGGGGCGGGTTGGCTTGCATGCATTCAGAAAAGCTGTCGACATGCAGCGTGTGGGAACGGTGGCATGATTGCGGGCACGCTTTTTTGCGCATCCATCTGCGTGTGGCCCTGATTGCACGGGGACAGATGCACTTTGCGTGCGTGCGCGTGCGGCCAGAGCCTTTTGACAGCAGACCACTCGCGCAGACAGGCAGCGAGATGAGCGGCCATCGCTGCTCTTCCTCTTGCCGAGCACGGCAGAAGCCTGCAGATGTGAAAGGCTAGAGATAAGTGAGAGCGTGTATTTTTGGGCCGGTCATCTCTGAGCTGAGTGAGAAACGTCAAGACAAACATTTGTGCTTGGTGGGGGGGGGGGGGGCGTCACGTTTTTTTTTTCACAGAAGAGATAGGGTTTATTTTGGCGCCTCTCTGTGGCAAATTGCTCGGCTCTGGGGACTTTTTTTTTTTTGCTGCACATATTAAGATGGACTATGTGAGAAATCAAAGTCAGTCAGACATTTGTTTTTTTTTTTTTTAATCTATCATGCTGGTCCAAGATGACCGCGTGGACGAGAGCCGTGCTTTCGGTCCATCTCGTGCCAGGTTTAAAGGGCTTGCAAAGCACGTCTGCCGCCATTCATCAAGGCCTTAATCTAGTCATCATTCGGTGTCGGTTTCCCACTCTGTGGCCTCCCGCTCACCTCGCGGACGACATCGACGTGCGGTGGCATTTTGCAACGCCGCCGCCCGCCGCTTCGCTCCGACGACCCGATTACACCGGGGTGAGAGGTCGCGGAGGGGTGTTTTTGTTTGTGTGGCTCTGGGCTGTTTGCCGGGTCGCTCCAGTGCACATGCAATGACCTTACCTGACTGTCACGCATCTGTTTAAGGTAAAGGCGCTGGTTCCGAACTACCAGATGAGGTCCGGCCTATCCGGTTAAGTCGTTGTGACATTTACAAATCTACGTGACGTGGTAGAGATGGAGGAAGCATTCCATATATGTATTGATTCCATGAATGGCAAGCGTAAACACAGAGGCGCGATTGCATTACGCATGAGAGGATAGTGTGTGCGTGTCTACAAATATCTACTGGAATAAAACCACCTGGCCGTGATTCCGCAAGACTGAGCATGCGTAATGCATCAAAACAGCACAGATGCGTTTGTAATATTTTGGGTTCGGCCTGAATTGAGAGAAACAAATACAGAGAGTTGCTGCAAACGGATGGACGGGGATGTTCACCGGCTTGTTACAATGAGCAGAAGTGGCAGATAGGAAAAAAAAAAAAGCCGACAAGCCTACACCGCCAAGCTTCTCGACCATCAATCAAAGGCTCCCCGGAAGGGGGAATGCGCTTGCGTTTGTGATTCTGTCAATCAGCTGGCCTGACGGCCGTCCCATCGGTCCTTCCGTCCGATTGCGACACGTGCACTTCTGCGCAATTCCTGACAACCGGATACACGACAACGACCAGATAGAGGATACGACATCCCTGATTTCCAAAAACAATTTGTGGACTCGTCAGACCACAGCACTTTTTCATTTAGGGGAAATTGGGGCTTTGTATATATTGTGGGAGGAAGTGAAATGTCATTTGGGATGCGAAAGGGTGCTAAAATCTGTCCAGTTGTTTTGTCATTTCCTGTCGAAGTGATTTTTTAAAGTTATTTTTGCGGCCGCGAGTCTGGATTGCCGACAGGGTAAACGTACACGAGAACCGTATGATAGGTTTAAACTAAAACACAAACGGCAGGAGGATTTTAAAGTGAAAAACATACTTGGCACTCCTTGGGCTTGTACGTCACATCCAGGCTGTCGTCACGTGCGCCCTGCAGGTTTGCCCGCCCTGCATCGGTGCATTGGCGTCAGCGCCAAGTTCCACAATCGGCCTCTGCCTCCCGTTTCTGTTGGTTAAAAAACAAAAAAAAACATTTTCAGCAATTGTACTTGGCACTCGGTGCGCCGAGTGAGATGCAAAAAAAAAAAAAAAAGCAGCTAAACTGTTTTTTTCATCGGGATCAAAAACAGATTTCAAGAAGTGACGATGAAGACCTGTCATTTCTATATTTATTAAATACCAGTTTCGGGAAAGACGATCTTAAGAAAGCCAACCCAGGAATGTGCTTTTTAACGCTATACCCCAAAAATGTTTGAGTGGATTAGGGTGAACGGCACGGCATTGCCACCCTGAAGGAATTCAACTCACTAAACGGCAATGAAATGCAGCAATAACACAAACAATGAACATATCTTTTTTTTCAAACTGCGGCGAGTGCACAGCCAATCAAATAAGCTCAAAATATGCAACGTTTGCGGCATTGTCTTAAGTCCAGTAAAAGCAACACGCCAGTCAAGAATGTGACAATAAGAAAAAGAAGGGCAAACTGTACAACTTTTTTTTTAATATCCATATTGTTGGGGAAAAAAAAAGTGTGGAAATGGGAAACTTTCCCCAACCAGGAGTAAAACCGCTGGAATTTGAGGCTTGGCTACGCCGTCAGTCTCATCGGTGTCTTTTTACAAGAATAAATGATCACATTTACAATTTCCATCCTCTGTTCAGCACGTGATGGCCAAATGTAGTCCAAGCGAAAATTATTTTCGCCAGCCTTCAAAAGCAAACATAAGCGAGTGTTGTAAAGGTCCGAAAATTACGGGCGGTATCGGTGAATCCGATGGTGCGGAGTGAGAAAAGCAGCGGGGAGGGATGACAAATGGAACACACATGCGCGCTGACACGCCGAGGGAATATTCTTTTCTTCAAAGAAGTTCAAATATGCTTTCATCATCTTCGTGCTCAGTGGGAAACTTTTCTTAGATTTTTTTTTTTTTAATCACTCTAAAAACTGTCAAAAATTTCAAATCTAACCTGATATAAGCAAGAAAATAAATAACGCAAAAAGTTTGGTCAAATGAATGACTCACAAAAACAGTCCAATTTTGGGGAGTTGGATTCCCTTTGGGGGGTTTTTTTTTTCCCCCCCCCCCCCCCCTCGCTCCCGGCGACGGTTCAAATAAGATAAGCAAAGGGATGGAAAACGAATCCGTTCGGAGTTGGCTCCTACGTGTTCACGGGCATGTTTTTGTCTCCCCCTCCTACTCTGAGGCAAATATTTCTCGGAGAGGATCACACCAGTCCGTTTTCCCAGGACAGGCACCTGCTTTTCCCGCCTATCTATTTGTTATTAATTCCACTATGATGGACGTCTCATCTTCGGCAGCTGACGCCGCAGGGCGGCTGAGTGCGTGCGTGTCAACGAGACTACAATGAAGGAAAAAAAAAAATGTGAGCATGAGAAGAATCAGGTGACGAGGCGCAGTCAGACCAAAACAATAACAGAGCAGTTTGCACGTGTGCGCACAGCTGTCAAAAGTGACCCCTCCCCCCCTCCCCTTTTCAGGGTTTGCCGTTTTTTGTTTGGAACTCTCTGATCAGGTGCAAAATAAAAAGAACCTTTTTTTTCCCTGCAAAAGCAATCAGCATAACAAAACATTTTTTGTCCATACTTGAAAAACACTTAAGAATCTTTCAACACTTTGAGCTTTTTTGTGGGTGGAGGAGGGGGCTCCAACCGAGAGGGTCTCGGCGAGCGCTGCAAGCTGTCGGAGTGCGATTGGGGTGGCCGTGTAAGAGGAGAGCGGAAGGATCATTTGCATTTGTCCTGGTGTGACCCGAAGGGTGAAAAAGCAGTGGAGCAGTTTTGGCTGCTTTCAGAGCACTTTACCTCACAGATGAAAAAGACTTTTTTTTTAATCCTTTGAATTGTGCTACCTATTGCACACAATAAGACAACACGTTGCTGTTTTGTTCCAAAATGGATGCAAATTCTGGACAACATTCCTTCTGGTTGACGGTTGGAATTGGAGGAATGGCGATACGAGAGCCCATTCACATGCAAAGTAACTTGCATTTGTTTTTTTTGTTTTGTCTTTTGAAGTCATACCCAGCCAAAAAATATATATTTATATATATGTAGATTTTGATTTAGGGGAAATCTGTTTTACAAAATGACTTTTTTTTCCTATTTCGGCGAATTTCACTTGGATTTGTATAGCAATGCTTTTGCCCCCCGCCCCAGCTAAGGTAGACCCTACTGTTGACACACACACACACACACACACACACACACACACACACACACACACACACACACACACACACACACACACACACACGGATCCCACGCCTTTAGACGGTGGAAAATAGGGATGCCCTTTGACTCATTTGGATGGAAAAAGAAATATGTTTCAACTAGCAGCTTGGCTCCAACTCCCCATTGTAAACAGCGCGTGTGCTTGCGCGCAAGCCGTTTGTGTACGTGTGCGCACGAGGGGTTGGGGGGGTTTGGAGGGCTCGTGAATAGGCCCATAGAGTGACTAACCGCAGGCTGGCCATTACACCTAGTTACAGTCACTGCCGGATCGGCAAGGAGACAGACAGTCTGCGACGCTGACAGAACGCCACTGTGCGTGACTTCTAAGTGCGTGTGTGCGTACACGTAGATGATTAGCACCGGGGATCCCCCCCACCCCCACCCCGAGTTGCCGCGCCGCGTTCAATACAAAGTGTGACCGCTACAAGTAGGCAAAAAGAGCTTTTCTTTCGCAGTAGAAAGAGCCCACTGTAACCTGGATGCGGTCCCGACGTCTACGATGTCCCCTTCGCGGGCTCCGTGCACAACGGCGTCAGCGAGAACAGACGACCGCGAGAGTTTGATTCGGGCGTGGTCATTTGCAATTTCACAATTACGTCCTAATTTGTATCGAAGGTGATCGTCCCCCAGCGGGGACGGCCGTGTTTGCAGAGAATTCCCCATCCTGGAAAACCACTTCAGGCCACGACGGGGATGACCGAGTGCTAATGGGAGTTGTCACGCTACATCTGTAGCCGTTACATTTAGACGACAAGTCACTAAAGTCATTTCCCACATTATGCAGTTCCAACATGTGTGGACTTTCGTCCTTCGTGGGCGCATTCAGAGGAAAGAAATGCTCGGGAGAGTCTGGTGTGGAAGATTTGGACGTCCTTCCCTCCCAAAGGGGGTCTAACAATGGCTGGTACTGAATGGGTTGACAAACGTCGATTTAATTTCATTGAACTCATTAAATAATGTGTCAATTGCTTTATTAGATGATTGGGATTTTGGAGGGCCGAAACATGAACAAAAAAACCCACCGAACTGCGCACACTCTGCCAAGAGGCAAATCCGCAAATGCCGAAGTCAGCGCAAGGACCACAGTATGAGAATTTCTTTGAGATTTTATGGCCCAATCATAAAAACGTGCATTGAGAACAGTTTCGATCTGAATCAATAAAACTAATAACGGTGGTTATGGAGGCCAGTTAGCACCTCGTGTCAATAAAAGTCCCTTCCCAAGTGTTTATTGCTACCTTCACATTCCAAAATATGACACATTAATGCCTCTTTCTGATCCTCCTGTGTTGCTTTCTGAAATATTCCCATTGGTTCTCTGTCTATTTATACACAGTTAGTTAGTGTCCCGTCCCCCACCACCACCACCACCACCACCCGCCGCCTCTCTTGGCTCTCTTAAGCGGCTCTTTTGCCAGTGGACGCCGTGGCCTTAAATGGAAAGTCTATACATGCTGCCCGTTTGTGAGCCCCGGTTGAACAGCTGAACATTTATAATGGCTTGTTTATGTCTGAAAAGGCCTTTGCACAGTAACCCACTGTCATGCGCGGAGCCCGGTGGGCAGCGGACAAGCCGAGGCGGACGCGTACCGCCGTGCTGGAGAATTTGGGTGATCCCCCCCACAGCCACATTTCCCAATTGTTCTCATTTTTAATATTTCAACTTATTTTGAAACTTGATTGTTATGGCACAGTGTCCACTGAAAATGGGGGAATGCGTGCGCTGTTAAAAGAATGGATCCGAATCTGGTCCAGACCGCACGGGTGTGAATCTGATCTGACAGCGCTTCTTTAAAACCGCTGAAGAGTCAAATGTTCTAGAGACCGCCTTCTCTATTTAGTCGTATTCTTCTAATCATAGACCGTAAATGGCAGGCCCTGCCACTGGAACGAGAGGGAGGAAAAAGCGAAGGTGGAAAAGATGGGGGGGGGGGGGGGGGGGGGGGGGTAGAAGGGTTATTATTGGTCGCTGGGAAGCCTGGAAAGTCTGCCTTCCAGGAAAAAAAAATGTTGGTGGAAGCGGCCTGTGGCTCTCCGCGCACGTGCGCACCCGTGCGTTTTGATTGACAGGCGTCACGCTACCTGGCACCTGGCTGCGCCGTCGCTAATGGAGGAGCAAGAGCGCAAGGGGGGGGTTGAGTGGCGCACGAGGAAGGATGGAGTGGTCCTCGGTGACAGGCACATGTGGAGGGGTGGGTGGGTGGTGGTGGGGGTGCTGTTGTTAATTGCCCCCTACTCTATAACCCGCTGAGCTGCGGGAGGAAAGAGTGGAGGAGGGGCGGCGCTGTCTGCCATCTGCTGTCATTCCTGACCTCCCCCCCCCCCAATCCCCAAATGCACGCCACCAACCTCTCCTCACTGCACAACCAACTCTCCCGCCGTTTTCCACTGTGCAAAGAAATCCCTCCGAGTGTGCATAACGTACGCACACGCGAGTGGCTAATTGGGCAGCGCAATATACGTCACAGGAAGAAGTATGAAAGCGAGTGTGGTAGCAGGCGACTGATTCTTTACGTATTGATGTGGCGGCAACGGGCTGTCGAGGTTCGCGATTGACAGCTCGAGGAGTACAACGCTTAAATAATACAAAGATCTCTGAACAATTTAAACAAAACAACTATCTGACGTTTTATTCGATCCGCACGAATAACATTCTGGTGAGGAGAAATTTGAAGGTAACCCGTTGCCCTCAAATAAGAGCGCAGGAAGTGGTCATAAAGCAAATGAAAGTGCAGATGGATGAGCTTTAA